ATATAATTTTTTAATAAAAACGTTTGTTTTTTAACAACTTGAAACAATGTAAAAAAAATATTTTGAAAAAATTCAATACTTTTTTAAATAATGAGTTTTCTTCGATAAAAAAATCACCCTATACATATAAAAATATTTTTTAACAAAATGCAATGTTCCTTCTTATTGATTACTGTTGAGCCACTAAAAAATTGTTTGAAAAGCCATAGCGCTGCAAGGATGCTCAAACGATTAATGAACCAATAAGATTTGACGAGTCCACCGTCATGTATATATTTGGTTGCTTGACTCCGAATTTTTATGTTGTGTACGTAAATCTCAATCCTTCGTCTTTAGCTGTGACTTTTATAGCAAATTTGACTTTCATCCTTTGCCTGTGCTATAGTCCACGACGTTTCACGAGTGCGAACAATTTTAGAGATTTATCTCTTTTTCTATATTCCACCGTGGCGTTACATAGCTGTTTCGCATAAATCGCACGTTTTTTATAAGATCATTTACAATTTCATCAAGTATATGCATAATAATCCCAATTCCTAGACTAAAAAAATCTTCATCGGTTGCTAGCACAAAAAACAAATAACAAAGGGAAACTTTGACCTTAACTATAAATAGGGACTAAACAACCAGGAAAAATCGTTGAATGACCTATAWAGAAGGAGTACCAGAATTCCAACTATTACCTCGGAAGAAATGGTAAACCTTAAATAGGCGTGCTATATGAGCGGAGACTTAGATAGATACCACAATGCGACTGCATGAAGACATGATACTCAGACAGCTGTTTTACACTAAAACAATCCCGACATTACCAATCAATCATTTTACATATTTTAGATATAACATATATATTTTACATATATTTAATGTTTTATCAATTTATCTTTTATATTATATATATATCTTTATTTTTGTCATAGTGTTTTCTAATAATCTACGTTATTATTGCGACCATGAGATGAATAAATAAAGTACAATCATCAGCCTATTTTCGAGATGGTATCAATAATAAATCTTTCCAAACCCGTCTTTCATGTAATCGTTACTGCACCGATATTATTCGTATTTAGCCATTTAGGTATACCTATATATTTTATTACAACCCACCAATGTAGTAATAATAAATAGGCATTCGAAAAGAGGTGTCGATTCGGGGAACGACATAATCCTTCTACACACACACACACACACACACACACACATACACATAAACAAATCACGACGTCCAACAGGTCGTCGGCATCGCCGTCGGTGCGTGTCGGAGTCAAGAGACATTATACGGTGCGTGTGCGCGCGCGTGTGTGTGTGCGTGTACCGTGCCTCGTCCAGTGTGGAAATAATAATAATAATAATAATAATAACTACATCGAAACTTAAACCCGCGTGAACTATATACACGTCTCGCGGGGAGACGACAAAGTCATGATATTGTGGTGAATGTGTGTGTGCGCGCACTCGGTGACAGCATATAATTTCATTTCGGTCACACTCGGGTGTAGGATTTCATTTTTGTACATGTTACACGGTGGACGGTTGACCGGGTGGATTGTGCTGGACCGATCTGGACTGCACGGGGGTGGTGGGACGGGGTGTGTCGCGCGATAGGTTTGGTAGGCATGACTGTACGAGAGGGTCTGGTATTTGGTGAGAGGGGAGCAGAGGGGAGAAATCTCGACGTATAACGATATTATACATCTATAATACGCGTACATGTCAATGTCGCGGCGGTGGTGCATGTTTGGAAGGGGCGTAAAACGAGAAGGCAACGAGGACGAGAAGAAAAAATAATAAAACAACAACAACAACAACAACGACGACGACGACGACGACGACCTAATGTTGTATAATCTCACAGCAAGTAATGGATTTTATGCGTAGTAACCGGAGTTCCGTTTCGGTTTAGGCGTGCGGTTGCCGGCGGTCAACGACGAAGGTGGACCGCCGCACCTGTATATAAAACACACCGCCGCCGCCGCCACCTCATGCTGTTGCTTCTGCAGCTTGGTGCTCCTGCTGCCCGCTCCTCCTCCACCGCCGCCACCGCCGCAGCATCGACGAATGCGCGCGCGCGAGGAGCGGCGGCGGGCGAACAGTGCGACCTCGCCGGTAATTAGTGGACCGGGCAGGATGTGGTCGGAGTCTGGACTCGAGGACCAGGTGCGCGCCGTCAACCGACCCGCGCCGTTCATCCGCCCATCCTTCGTAGTCGACGTCGTCGTCGTCGGCCGCCGCCACCGCCTCATTCACCCGTCGCTCGTACCGTCTTTCCCCCGCCCGCACAGGACCCGCAAAGCGCACCGCCCCACCGCCACCACCGCTGCCGCACCACGCGATCGTCCGTCCGGCGGCGGCCCGTTCATTCATAAAAACATCCCTACTACTATACTCCATCCGGATCGGCGGCAGTGCGTGCGTGTCGAAGGCCTCTCCACTCCATACATACATACCCGCACACACGTATACACGCGTACACACACTCACACACACACACACACACACACACACACACATATATACACGCGGGTTCTAGCGCGCGCGCGCGCCGCTACACGCGCTCGCGAGCGCTTGGGTTTCTTGAATGGGGAAAACGCGCGCGGCAACTGCAGCAGCAGCAGTAGACGACGACGACGACGACACACACACACAGACACACCGACCGCGATCGTCAACGGTCACACACGCGCTTTGTTGTCACACCACACACACGAGTCAACTGCTCGGCGTCGTCGATCTTTTCTACGCACACGTACTCATAACATAATATTTTTCATAGTTTATTATACACATTATCGTTTTTTAGATATTTTTTGCGACGTCGTGTGCGTTAACGCGAATTCAACAACATTTGAATTACATATTTTAATAAATCTGTAATTTTTTTCGCGCATTTTACCGACACGGCTCGATCGGATTAAAATATTCTTAACATCTGTCATCGCGTTCGAAATAATATGCAAACGATTTGAGTGAAAAAAAAAACTGTGATAATAATATTATATTATAATATACAGTACACGAACACGCGCGCACGACAAGTGTTCTTCGCCGACGGACGTTTCCCGGTCGTTTGAGTTCGCGTGAAAATCTTTTTTTGGGGGCCGGTGATGCGTGATGGTCGGACCGCGTGCGGTAACCGTGATGTTTTACGTGACGGCTGCGTTGACGTTGGCTGCGGCTGCAGTGGCGTCGGCGGCGGCGACGGCAGAGGCGTCGGAGTTCGTGGAGTTGACGACTAACAACGTCAACAACAACAACAACAACAACGACATCGACCACAACAACAATAACGGCCACGACGACCGGCGGCCGACGACCGTGCAACCAGCTTTGGTTGACCAACAACAGCCTCAGCAACAACCACAGCCCAGGAGGTTCAGACACGAAGCGTCCGCAGTCAGAGTCCTCTACCAGACAGGGGTAAATATTTTTGAATTTTTTTTCACACTTTTTACCTGCCATATTTTAAACGAAAACCCTTTCAAATTACATACTCGTATTGGTAATATTTATATATCATATTATTATTATCATTAAATCGGTACAATCATAATATTATATTATAAGTCGTCTCGTTAATATTTTAAGCACCACTGGTGTGGCTGCAGTAGCGCGCTATAATATAGCGATCGTGCAGTGTGTGTGTGTGTTCGTGCTAAGACCCGCGGGCCGCAGTCGCGGTCAACTAGGCGCCTTTATAACTTTGTCGCGGACAGGCGCCACCATAATATGTATATATGTATATAATATATATGCGCACAAACAGCCAGAGCTGCAGAGATTGTATAGACCGATACGTATACTACATCATGTGTGTATGTTTTTTTCTTTCTATTATTATTATTATTATTATTATTATTATTGTGCGTATCTACAAATGTATATATATATATATATATATCTACACACACACAACATATACACGATGTAAACCAGATTGGTGGTAGGCATTTTGAATAGGAAGCTGGTTTGACCGGATCGCGCGCGCGCGGGTGTGTGTGTGYGCGTATGTGTAGAGTGTCTTAGCGTACCTATACTTGTATATAAGATAATATATAACGTATGTAACATTAATATAATATAATATTAATATTATCACCATCATCGTGATCTCGTCGAGGATTCCCCCGGGACCTCTTCGCATAACGAATGCGAATTTCGTCGGAATATTATTTTATATTTCCCGGCGGCAACGTGCGCGAGCGACCGAAAGCGATCGGCCGCTCGGCGGTGGCTACATTAACGCGCGAGTATCGCGCGTGTTCGTTATTATTTTCATATCATAAATTTGCGTCTTATATACATCACCTCAAATCGCGGTTGGTTCCGGCTACGACCTATGCAATAAAATATTATTATTAACGTGTGATAGGTTGTAAGAAACAATAAAAATAATAATAAATATAAAAAACAATATGTTTTTCGCCACCCCCTTCTAAGTAAATTATTGAGGTTTTAATGTCCTTGTAATAAATTAATGAAGTATAATAAAACATGGTAATACGTTGATATTTTAATTAGAACACTGCATACTTAACACGTATTAAAAGCCTAATACAACAGTACTTATAATCAATTTATTACCTACAGTAAAACGAGATATTTTAGAACAATCTAATGTTTTTTGGGAATGAATTAAATTCATACAAATTATATAAATATGATTAAGTATTAATTTTATATATTCTACATATTTGAGTATAGCAGTTGTTTCATAAATATTGCAGATAAATTCATATTTTATTACCACCACCCGGTGGTTATTATATAATGCACACATCATATATATAATATATTTGTATGTGCTGACTGTCGAAGAACTCTTGCGCGCTTATACACATATCCAATGCATATTAAATATAAATGACGTGTGCAGGAGACGCTATATATACGACATATGCGTATATGAATTAAGCGGCCGTTGGCCTATACGTATAATAATATAATACCTTTTTAGAATTTACCTCCCGACGATCCGTCGACGATGGGTGGTAGGGTATTGCTCTCGAACGTCTGACCCGTTACTATATTGTAAAATTATAACACATCGTATATGTGCATTAAATTTGTATTTGTATTACTGTCATGAATAGGTTAGAAGTATAATATAGAACGTATAAAGGTATATCGATCATTTTAATGTTTCAAAAATTAGTTCACTAACTGCTAAGCATACCCTATTAATATCATATTACTAATATTTTTATGGATCGATTACGACGAGGGCGTCAAGAATATTATCAAATTTTACCTACTCTGCGAACCATAGTTCTATTTGCAGGGCGAATAAACTATGTTTTATTCCACACGAATGTTGAGTAAATGGTCAATCACTCGCTAATCCGTCACACATACACACACGTATATATGCATATGTATTATATATACACATATACTTTGTTTCAAAGTTGTCAACAAACATCGGTCAAGATGAGGAAGCGTTGTGTATAATATAATATGACTAAATTATTGATGTTTAGGATAACACTATATGCGATGATGATGGGTATTATATGTGCATGGATGAGCACTGCGTTCATTGATATGTTGTTAAGCAACTTTCGATATATACGATTTAGGTTATGAATTAAATGGCAGTATACTGCAGCTGTACAGATACTCTACAGTACCACATAGTTTCAAACTGCTACAGTGATCAATTATGAAAATCGCCTTTAAAACAATGTACGCGTCATTCATAAGCAGCGGTGTAGGTAATGTATTATTTGACCGTTGCACTATACGCATCGTCGTCGTCGTCGCCCCGTCGTTATATTATTTGATCGTGACTCGTGATCACGGCCTCGTCATTAGACGTTAATGAATGATAGTGGCGAAGTGAGATGGAATTTTTTAATATTTTTTTAATTCGTAAACGTAATTGAATTACCGTTAATAATAAGGCGCCGGGCGTCTCATATATTATCGTCCCTTATGTTGGCAATCTCGTCATCGTACAATATTACAAATGACAAGATAACTAGTATAATAATATGGTCTGTAACGCTGTTTACATTCTAAAACCAGCATCAATCATTGTTTAGATAATATGCGATTTGTAAAAAAATAATTATTTTATTATTACCCRCAAAGTAATTTTTTCAAACCTTTTCGGAAATTATTCGTGTGTTATTTATTTACCGCACAAGATTTTATTATAACTRAATTATTAAATATTTAAGCTTATACAGCATAAGTTACTTAGATATAGTTAGATACATAAATTTTGAGTTATTCAAAATGCATTCGCGTTTTCATAAAATAATATAACTATATAATATGTTTATCATACTGTTTATAGACGACAACCCTATTATACTGTTTTTCAGTGGTCGTTCGGTCTGCTGTCATTTATATATAAATCCATCAGAAATTCAGAACTATAAAGACTGCGTTTACGGGTATTTAATTTCTCATTTTAAATTATAATAAAAACATAAAATTTTTAAAATATTTTAACAGAACTCCGAAAGACGTTTTAATGTATTAAAATTAATGTAAATGTGATTTCTCGTCCATATAAATAGTTTCCCGATTGGGTAATACTGATTTTTTATTAAAATAATCATCTCGAGAAATATAACAACAATCTTTATATCATAATAAATAATAACTGTACTGTGTATTGTATATAGCGTTCAGCACAGTATGAATAAAATCGTTACATTTTTTTATAAACACAGTAAAAATAAAACTACATCGCATTCTTCGATCTATCATCTTACCTGTGCAATATATTATGAGTAACTGAGAAAAACTTGTAAAGACTTTATACTTTAGTATTACTAAAACAACATACCTTAACTATTAAATTATACATTATGATTGATATTTATTTTTTAAACATGCACTTCGAGTTCTTGTATAAACTCATTTACCATGTTTATTTTGTCTATCGTATTTTCTTAGACACATGTTGTGTACACATTATTATGTTTAGAAAACACTATATGATTAAGTTATATAGACGTTAATGATTAGAGAGAACTTAAGGACCATTAAAATACTCTAATCTGATACAATTATTATCAAATGAGAATTTCAAAAGAGTGAAATTATGTTATATGTATTAATACGAATAGTGTATTCCCAAATGTTTTTTGTGTTCTGTCTGTTGATTACTTTTAAACGACGATATTAGAAAAAAATAAACATTTATATAATTAATATAATTTTCATTTCAGACGATTTAAAAATAATAAGTAGTCATAAGAATAATAATATATATTATATGCATACCTATATACGAATAATATTTGTTTAACGCATTTTAAATTGGATACAGATACCATAATTTTAATGTTAATGCACGCATACCAGTTTTACGTATCCAACTTACCCGACATCGTCATACCCATATGGTTTGAGATATATTATTAAGTACATCTTACATATATATAATATATATACATCCGCAGTTATAAATTTCTATCTGAATCGCAAACGGAATTCGAACATAGACTTTCACATCTACATATAAAATATATAAATACACCGTTGCGGGTACCTATATATTATATTATTCTACGAGTATAAAATATAAAAAGGCATTAGCGTGGAATTTCCTTGAAAAACTTTGCAAATATGTACCTACTTATATAACACGCGCATAAAACGTATGTATAGTGTAACATGGTGCTGTACGTGGGCCGATCAAATCAATATTGTACATCCAAAAACCGTTAAACTCGTTGCCGGTCACAATATAATCATTATAATCTATAATACGTATACCAAATAAAACAGTAATATTATTATAACGATACAACATATTCAACACACATACACACACACACACACACACACATACACCTACACACATTAACACGCATGATTTCAATAGATTTTAATTCTCACCCAACATGCAAACGCTTTAAAATTTCCATCTTAGTGTGAAACTTTTTCGTCAGTCGAGTCAACGGCGGGTTGTTGTGCAACACGCTGCACATATTATGATAATAATGATTATTGTACTACCGTCGTACCACCTGTGAGTGTGCGGCGTTATAAATAAATTGTAATACTGTCGATGTGCGGCATTTATTATTATTTCGCCGTGTCATCGACCAGACGAAATTTTACACCTATATGGCGACAATTACAGTCGACATGTATAATAATAATATATATATATATTATTTTACATATACTATAACGGCCGAGTTTCACAATGTTTCAGTTACCTGTGTATAATAAACTATGTATATATATATATATATCATATACCATCGTAGTGTATTATATATCTAGTGTTAACTTCCTGGTGGTGTGAATTCGACAGGTAATTTTTTTTTTTGTTCCGATTTCGTCGGCGATAGTATATACATATGTCCGCGCACTTCCTGTCCGAGTGGTAAACGAATTTTCTCTCGGGTCTCCTATAACGTGCGTAATATACGTACACGTTATAAATATATATT